GATTTCATTACTAAAGCAAGATCATAACCAAGCCTGTGGAAATATATTAGTCCGTTTGGAGGATTCACAGACTTTTGGTGATACAGTACCAGGCGTACTCAAATCCAAGTCGCTCAAGTCTCGAACATAGGGTACTCCAGGTGTTCGGATGGCCGGTATTGGAGGGATGCCTGGTCGTGCGTTTTCCTATCTTTATGATAAAGTATAATGGGTTTGAACTAATCTCAAACCCTCAACCTTGTGGGGGATTATATTGAAGAATAGATCTTCCATAGTAGTATATATATTCTTTTGCCAGAATATACTACTAGTAGATATATTTAAGGGAATTTAGAGAATATAGTTCTTACTCATATGGAAGATTTCTACGAAGTTATTTTCCCTTTTATATTATGAACCGCTATGTTTATATCCGCAAAAGGGTAAGAATACTTTGTTGCATAGCCTGGAAATAGCATCGTGATATTCGTAGACATTTATGTGATGATGAACCGCCTGTATCTAAGTAATAGAGAGATCATTAAATGGAGCTGCCAAACTAGCTATCAAGCTAGGTAGTTAGTATGCAGTCTGGCATAGTTGAAATGGAGAATAAAAGAAATAACATACAAATATGATATGTTAAGCTAGCTTGGTGAGGATGAACCTTCTGTGGATCCGGATATACGGAATTACCGATTTACGGGATTTCATAGGCTCACTCACCAGTCAATTGCTACGGTGGGCGATCAGCAACAACACTTGCTCTATTTTAATGCGAAATCGATACATCAATGTGACCGGGGTACCTTGGCATCCATACTGGCCGGATATATCTAGTTAGTTAACTAGTTAGATGGCAAAATATGGTGACTAAGCCGGCTGTTAAGACAAGATGCAATCCCGAACACGTCATGACATCCCTTACTTACAATGGAATTGACCTTGGCTTCAAGATTCGCATATTACGTGTGGTGCTAGAAGGGCGAGTAACGACAGTCAACTACGCTGTCGGATTCAGTGGCTCAAAATATTTCTCCTGTTCAGTCCAACAGCCTCACTCATCATGGTTCGACCACTATTCTCTCCCGCGCAGCGTAGCATAGCTAAGAAACGACTACTATGTTCGCCTGCAAGAGCACGATATCTTTTCAGCACTTTCGCAAATATCATTGATGGCAAAACCAGAGACTCTTCACGAGTCCACCAGGGCATCAATCCATCAAATTGCCAGAAACTTTGGGATGTTCCCATTGCATCGAAGAATGATCTCCAAGATGCTATCACCTCTGCGCAGAAGGCGTTTACCTCCTGGTCAGCCGTATCAGGGTCCGATCGTCAAGCTGCCATTGCTCAATTAAGAGATTCTCTTCTGTCGAGTAAAGAAGATATGGCTGAGTTGCTTATGAAAGAAGCAGGTAAACCAGTAAGATTACCTCCTGAGACAGTAGGTCGGTACTCACCCTATACCAGAGAATGCAAGCGACTCTCGAAGTTGACCATGCATGTGGCTTTCTGGATTACTTCGGTACGTTAAATTCTTACGCCTACATAGACCACCGACTAACCCATCCTTCATAGCAAATGTCAAAATTCCATCCGAAGAGGTTATTCATGAAGACGCCTCACTCAAGCTAACACTGAATTACCTCCCCCTCGGAGTTATCGGGGCTATTGTCCCCTGGAACTTCCCATTAGTTCTTGCGATGGCCAAAGTTGCCGCAGCCCTCGCCGCAGGAAATACCGTGATTGTCAAACCATCCCCATACACCCCCTACAGTATCCTCAAGGTAGCCGAATTAGCCATCCCGATTCTACCCCGGGGTGTATTCCAAGCCATTAACGGCGATGACACGACCGGGCCAGAAATGACCTTGCACCCCGACATCAATAAAATCAGTTTCACAGGTTCGACCAGAGCAGGCAAGCACATCCTGGCCGCAACAAGCAACACATTGAAAGAATGCACCCTTGAATTGGGCGGTAACGACCCGGCTATCATCTTCCCAGATGTAGACATTCAAGCCGTAGCACAGCAAGTCGCCTTGGGTGCTTTCTTCAACAGTGGACAGTTCTGCCTTGGCAGCAAGCGTCTTTATGTCCACGAGGCAATCTACAACGAATTCCGAGATGCCTTGGTCAATGTCGTGAAGACATGGAAAGTAGGACCTGTGGACGAGGATGTCATGCTAGGTCCAGTTCAGAATGAAATGCAATTCAATGTCGTCAATGACATATTCAAAGACTGCAAAGCAAACGGATACAAATTCGCTTTGGAGGGCGGCCCCAGCACCGGCCCAGGGTATATCTTCCATCCTACCATCGTGGACCGCCCACCTGATGGATCAAGAATCGTCACGGAGGAACCGTTTGGTACGTGAGCCTAAACCTTCCAAAACAATACTCAATATTAATCCACTTGAATCACACAGGCCCCATCGTGCCTCTCCTGTCATGGAGTAACGAATCAGAGCTCATCTCAAGAGTCAACGACACCAAGACTGGACTTGGATGCTCAATCTGGGCCAAGGATGTGGAAGCAAGCAAGAGGCTTGCGCCGAAGATTCAATCTGGGAGTGTCTGGCTGAATAGCTTTGCAAAACCTCATCCTCATGGTTATTTGGCCGGTCGCAAGGAAAGTGGAATTGGAGGTGAGTGGGGAATGAAGGGATTGAAGTCGTATTGCGCGACTCAGACACTGCATTACTACAAGTGAACCACCCTATATAAGTAGACTGCAGATCCGCCGTTGGATTATATTCACCAAGCCATATGTAATAAATGGATATTCAACGAAGGAAGTGACCTCGGACATAGAATATCCCGTCCAAATATCTAGATAGTACATGGTGGTCTATCCCTCATACAATCTGACCAGGGGACTACAACTATCTCAAGCCAAACAAACGAAATACGCAACAGTAGAAAATAACCCACAACAGAGCCCTCAATCCGAATACTAAATCCACGAAATCTCTTCAACACGCCACACTACACAAGTTGTACAAGCACAGCCCCATTAACGGCTCTATGGTTTTCCACCGGGTAGACTAGATACATAGAGAGATGTCACGACGGAAGAACCGAAGAAATTCGATTTCCCGACTAACTAATGCTCCCCCACCTCCCTCCCGCTCGGTACCAAAAATAGATACGGTTGTTAGATGTAGATGTAGAATTCTTAACCCGATGTACTGTACTACTGTATTGGAAAGGAAGATGTAAGTGGTGCTACTATCTATAGATTGGAATACTGGGGTCCGGGACTGGTCATGGAGTAAATATAGCTGGTTCGGTTGTGAGAGAGTCTTGGTTGAGTGGTGGCGAGGGAGTGGATGTGGTTGTTGTTTGTTGATTTTTTCTTATTTCAATTTTAACAATTTTAAATTATATTACCTGATATTTCTCTGGAAGAATAATATAGATATGTAATGCTTTTGTTTCGGGGCAATTCGTTGTTGACAATTCGTAGAAGTTTGGTGGATGGACCGTAATCGAGGCACAGGTCATCATGGTGCTTTGGTCTTCACGCTTGGTCTTGATCAATTGACTAAGCGGACAGATGATGAAACATTGAAGAAGTTAGCTGCAGGAAAGTCACTGTCCGGGAGTGACACGGCACTTTACACCTCCGCTGTTATCAATCATTACGAACATGGCTACTAGGTTATTCCGATTTAGGTTACGCTCCTGCAAGATGGTAACGAAACTCGAATACGAGCAGTCAAGACTCGCTAATGTCGGTGTCATTTGTCTAGGCTTAGTGGAAGTTGGCTTAGCAAGTAGCCTCGGCTGTGGCATAACAACTTGTGCAAGCCATCGACCTGACCCCTTTCGATCGGACCCTGAAGCGTTCGTGGTTAATTTTCGGAGAAATACAACCCCTGAAATAGCACATGATTAGCACATGAGGAGTCAGTAGCGTGTAGTTGATAGATTGACTGATTATCAGAAATTCTTCGATCTTCGATCCGTGAGGCGATGCGGTGTCTCCGCGCGGAAGACGACAGGGGTATCGAGTTAATTGCACGGAATACGCCGTTCCTGCAGCGAGGCATACACTGGAGTAAGACTCGGATCGCGATCCTGTCGCAGACAATGCCGTCTTGATTTATCCCCGAGGGGAGTGGAAGTCTGATCCAGATGAGGCCATCGGACCTTCGACTGTGAGAGAAATGACCTATCTCCAGAGACAGACCATGGCGGACTCAAAGACCTTTCATATCTCCTGAAAGTGCAGGGTGGAAATTTGATTCTTTGACTGGGTTCGCTTTTGTTTCAGCAGCGAAGCCCAGACGGAGAGAAATCGACTCGTGCGGTGCCACGAAGGCCTGGCCGTGAGAAGAAGACGAATGAGACCAGCGGATTAACTGGGGCGGAAGCAGCCGTCTGACGTTTTGGCCCGCGTGGCGCGGCCAAACTGCTGAAACAGGGGGTCTGGACCGCATCCATTATTGGCCAGATGCTCCCAATGGGCGGATCGCCAAGCGTTCCTGGCGGTTGACCCTCGCTATTGGCTCTACCCGGGGTCGCTGTATCGTGTACATCCTAATTCTGCAGCGGGGACACCCAAAAGAAGAAAAAATAGCAGCAGTCATACGCAGCACCAGTGGCTGTACAGGTACCAGTACACGCAGCATACCATACTGACATACGATTTAGAGTGTATGCCAGTGTATGGCAGTTACACAATGGCAGCAGCGCTCTGAACTTTGTTTTATGGAGCTGCCCCATGTCCAATGCGTGGCAGTCGTTGGTCTGGGATTAATAAGTTTATGTTGGCACTAGATATTAGTTAGATATCCCCGTCAGTGAACTCCTGACGCACCGTCCTCTTCATCGATCTTCACTTCTCGGGAATTTTCAATCGTTGCTTACGACCTTCGTTTATCACCTGTCTCCATTCCCAGGTTGATCATTCACGTTCGTTCCCGAAGGCAGGCCCTTCTTTGTTCTTTAACCCAAACCACCATCAGTCTCTCCTTTCGAATCCCAACCCACCGATTAATTTTCAGGTCAAAATGGGCGACGAAGCGAGCCACGATAACCACCTGGCACCCACCGCGGACCATGATGTGCCCACTATTGTCCCGGCAAATGAACCCAAGGAGCCACGAGGACGCTTGACACCTCGTCCTTCTTTTCTGGAGAACCTCGCCAGTTCCACAGACAGACAGTTCATGCTAGGAAGACGCAACTCTAGTGAAATCGATCGATATTTCGTATGTTAAGATCAGGGTATATTGGGAGGGGCCACTTGGACTAACAATAGACGTATAGCACGGACCGCGAGATCTCGATCGACACTCCAAATGGCCCATCTTCCTACGAATGCATGGCAGTATCATGCCGAAAATGATTTTACCTCTTGCCTTTGTCGCAGCTTGGGCCACCGTCATTACCCTCATTTCCAGATTTGTCCACAACAGTAGGTTTTTCTTTCGCAGAATGTGACTGAACGCTGACCAATCTTCACTAGTCGGCATCAACGATATTCTTTTGACAGTTACCGGTTTCGTGGTCAGTTTGGCGCTGTCGTTCCGCAGTTCGACGGCATATGAAAGGTATGTCTGATTCTTGGCCTGCACATAGACAGCTGCTAATCTCCATAGATGGGCGGATGGAAGAAAGTACTGGGCGCTCCTCAATCAGACGGCTCGCAACCTTGCACGTACTATTTGGGTCAACACGGCAGAACGTGCAGGAGAGGAGGGCAAGGAAGACTTGCTAGCAAAACTGTAAGACTTTCACGCTTCCGATCATTGCCATTTTACTAATAAACGTAGGACGGCCATGAACCTCATTCTGGCTTTCGCCGTTTCCCTCAAACATAAACTGCGATTCGAACCCGATGTGGGATACGAGGATCTAGCAGGCCTGGTTGCACACCTCGACACATTTGCCAAAGAGGCCCACGACCGCCAAGTCGTTCAACCCCCGAAAAAGACGCCCTGGAAATCAGTCGGTGAATACCTGGGCGTTTCTTTTGCCGAATCCAACCCGAGAAAGCTTATCAAGCGGTCCAAGAAACCCTTGGGCCATCTTCCTCTGGAGATCTTGAACCATCTCTCCGCATATGTCGACCGGTGCATCGCCAACAATACTCTCAACATCAGTCTTCACCAAGGACAAGCCAGTACGTACCCGTCCCGATGTCTTTCCAAATATATCGCTAACTTCCCAGTCACCGCTCTATCTACCCTTAACGAGGTCCTCACCGGCACCGAGCGCGTCCTGGACACTCCTCTTCCCGCCGCATACAGTATTTCCATCGCCCAGATTGCCTGGATCTACGTCCTCGTGTTGCCCTTCCAGCTGTACGACTTTCTCGAATGGGTGACCATCCCAGCTTCCGTCGGTGAGTATCCCATCCACTACACAGAATCCTCTAATCTAACAATATCACAGTTGCCGCCTACATCATTCTCGGACTCGCCTTCATCGGCAGTGAAATCGAAAACCCCTTCGGCCACGACGTCAACGATCTTCCCCTCGACACCTACTGCCGCCAGCTCGCCGTCGAGCTTGACATCATCACCGCCATGCCCCCGCCCAAGCTAGACGAGTTCGGCACGCGCGAGGACAACTTCGTGCTGTACCCTCTCAGCACATCCGGATACCCCGAGTGGAAGGACCGCTCGGTCGAAGAGATTCGCGCCGCTCTGAGGGCAAAGGTAGTGGCCAACTACCCGTCCGCAGGGATGTCGGACGCCTCGACAGTGATAGGGAGTGTGCGAAGCAAGCAGTCTGTTTGATATAGCAGAGGTGATGGGTTAAAAGTTTAAATAAAAGCGAGGATGAGAGGATAGATTGTTTTGATTGATGTTTTGGATGGTGTTCAATAAGCATGAGAGTCTGGTGTTCTGTTCTATCAAAAAAAGAGGATGATATTATGTATGGTTGGTTGGTCGGTTGGGTCGGTCATTCGTTACTACTATTACTACTATACCAGGGTTGGTCTTTCGATGTGAATATTTGGGAATCGAATCTTTCTGATATATCATACTACTTGCTTAACTGGGTATATTATGCATAGCCTGCTATATAGTACAATTCGCTTCGCCATGGCTGAGGAATGTAGACTGCCACAGACAACAACAAAAGCCTTTATATCCAACGAGAAACCTTGCTATCAACAAGCAGAACCTCCATACGCACACCAGCCCAATCGCTAGAATCGGAGGTTACTTCCTGCCCCCAAGAGCCTATCTCAACCAATCACACAACCGTATAATCCATTATCCTATCTCACCCCAAACATCCCATATCCCTCTAAAAATCATCATCATCCACACCCAGATCAAGGATCAGCAATTAAGGAACAAACACCTCCCCCCCACCCCCATTAACCAACGCCCCGAGATAATTCCCCTTCGCACAGACCCTCCACGCCATGCTGCCCCCTCCTCCTCCCACATCACCAGCACCTGATGTATTTGTAGGCGTACTCGCACTCCCTCCAATCCACGAACTCAACGCCGCCACAACCGCCGCCGCATCATCGCGCGGCACGCGTGTCCATACTGTGCTTCCTAACCCCGCTCCTCCTGTTTTATTTCCGGTAGATGATGATGATGACGATGGCGGCGATATCTTGAGTATATCAATGGGAATAGTTGTTCCCGTTAATCCGAGGAATTGGGAGAGTGCGGCGGAGAGGTAGGTTCGGGCTGTGAGGGGGTCGAGGGGTGTGGATGTTGTGGAGGTTGGGGGGTTATTTATTCTAGACGAAGTTAGTCAGGTGGTAGAAGTATAAGCGAGGAAGGGGATGGCACGTACAATTGAAGTTTGAGATATGTCCATGTTGGTGTGCGCGAGGTGAAGTGGATGGTTTGAGGGGTGGAGGAGTCGGATTTGCGTTTTGAGGGTGTGGTTGTTGTTGTTGTTGACATTATGTATTTCTTGGTGGTGGTGTTGTAGAGAGAGGGCGTATATGTAGGTAGTAGAGGTTGAGAAGGTAGGTAGGTAGGTAGGGAGGAATTGCGTTGAATTAAACTGGGGATTATGCGATGCGATGCGATGCGGGCGGAGAAAGTTGAGAAAAAGAAAAATCCCCGTGATTGTGATGTCACGGCCGGCGGTGTCGCGCTTGCGGGAGCAATCACCACTATGAAGATAGATGGTATTTATTATACCCTCAGCCAGTCAATTGATATATATGTAAATGAAAAATCATTTCTGCATAACAGCCCCCTCTAATATCCCCCGCGCCCTCTGTAAATACTCATCTTCGCTGTGCTTCCCAATATCCAGCTCCGAAATAGCAAGGATCTTTTCTCGGGACTTTAATCCGCGGATCACTTCCACGTTGGATTTGGGGACTTGGAAGATCTGTTCTCGTTATCATTTGATGTTTTATAAATATTGAAGCGTGGGTTTTGGGTATTAGTGGAAGAGAGAGAGATGTACTCACCTGCGCTATAACACGCGACACGGCTGCATTCGCTTCGCCTTTCCTGGGTACTGCGGCGACGCATACATCTACCCTGTCTGCTGCGATAGAGGTTATGCCTTCGCGGTTGCTTGAGGCGTTTGGCTTTACGTGACAGGATATTTGGAGGGTGTAGAGTTGGTTGGTGGGTCGGGATTTGGTGGTTGCGGATTGGATTAGGCGGAGGAGGGGGATGGACATTGTTGGTTTATTGTAAGATTTGTGAGGGTGTGAAGGGGTGTATGTTGGAAGATGGGTTTAATAAAGTGGTGGTGGATGTTTGGAGGAGATGTAGTTGTTTGGTGGATGATGGATTGCGGGTTAGAGGGAAGTACTAGTAGTATCTATATCTGGGGCAGATTATTGGCTGTGAGATGCGGGATGTATATGGCCCCGATTAGGGTCATTGGTGCCATACTGACTATCTACACTACTCGCAACATCATGATTCCATTTGCAATGGGAGCTATGTTGCCTGTACGCGATTGGGTTACTGCTGCATAATGTGGTAGAATTAGTTACTACTACTGTAGGCTGCCTTATACTGTTTGCTCTATCCTAAGAACTCCGGCTGAGCGATGAGCTACTTCTACTGCTACAATGCAATAACTTCATATCAAGCTGATACGCACTCAGTGTTACTCCATATCAATACCATCAAGCCAATTGTTCAATCCTGAAAATACCAAACCTCACCTCACAGCCAACTGCTTCACCAACTTGCCCACTCCCAGCCTCTTGTGAGGGCATTAACAGCGAACACCCCAGCCTGCAGTACAGAACAAAGACAATTCCGTATTGAGTCACAATACCTAACTCAGCCGCTGCATTCAATTACCATTGAGCCACAGAAGCAACAATAGGGACCCACCCAAGAACAAAGACCAATGTATTGATACCTTTGTTACTACGGGGCCCCAGTTTCAAGGTGGACCCTGTCACAGAGGTAGATCCAGCCTCCGAGATTCTGATTGGCCAAGTCAGATCTATAAGGCTCAGTGACTGCTATATTGGCGGCTGGTGCACTGGGGCACGCAGTCAGATCTGTCATGAGTAGTTCGCAGTCAGATGTGATTTTTGGGATATTGGCTTAACGATGCTAAATGATGGCTTCAGTAGATGATATGCTTTGCGGATTGCGTATGCAAAGATAATTCGAATATAGGCATGATTAGGTTCGTTGGATAGAGCTCTGTCTGCTCAATTGCTCTTCTTCAGGAGAGACCGAAATGATCGTCAGGGCCGCAGTAACGGCCATTAAAAGGCATCATATAGGAAACTTCGAAGAGCTCGACAGAGCATCCCGAGTGAATTCCTCTCCTCCAATTCGAACAATGAAGTTCTGCTCATGGACCTTACCCTATGCAAAGCTCTATGCCAGCCTCTCTATTAATTGTATGTTGTTAAATAGACAATGGTCCCCCCGAACACCAGACAACTTAGTCGAACATCTTCCTCTTCTTTTCCTCTTGCGAGTTCTCCAGCCAGTTCATCTGCTTCGTGCACAGTCTATCTGTCGTTTCGTGCTGTTCTTCGTTTGACTTCGTTCGTGGATAGTATCAATCTTCAATTGCGTGCCAGGTTCAAAGCTTCGTTTCTCTCATACAGTCTTGCGGAAAAGGCTTCCCTTCTCTTGATCGTTCTCAATCAAGACATTGAACTGCGTGCCAGTTTCAAGGCTTCGTTGTTCTAATAAAGTCTTTCGGAGAAAAGGCATCTCCTCTTTACTTTGTTCTCAATCACGACAACACATAACCATCTTTCACAATGGCCATTCTACTCGACTGAAAGCACCAATGCTTTCCAGGACATGTTGAAACAGAACTATGCAATGAGTTAGTATACATCCGCAGTCGGGGTCAAGAAGCTAACAAGAACCAGTGCAAGCTTCGTTTCAAGAATCCGTTCAATCTACTTACCGGGAGGCCTGCCAAGCCCAAGCCGACTCAGGCGACTTTACTTCTTTCCATCCTGAGCAGCAAGACTGGTCGTGGGACAATCTGCCGGACATCCTTTATCAGCTCAAGCCTACTGGCCCCAAGAGCAAGATCGAGCCTCCAGATATGCCCTACCCCATTAACGGAAAGGTCCTGCGCGATATTCCCGTCTTGCCTGATCACATTGCCTCCGACGTTGACGAGTTCCGCGTGGAAGCTTGGATGCGTCTCGATAGGCGAATCCGGCTCAGCGATATTACTGATCGCATGAGTCCGGAGTTCCGTATTGCGCCTAACGCACTGCAGCAGCGCGGCGGACGATTCAGACAGGCGTTCGGCATGTTGGCCTGGGATTCAGGCAATAAGCTAAGTCGCGAGCTCGAGTCTAAATTGATGCAGACCTTGATGGAGCATGGCATTGACCCTAACCTTAATACCACTCGGGGACTTACTCCCGGCTTGATCATTCCAGCCCTGGGTGAAGCTGGCGGACGCATCCCTCTCCCACCTACCTACACTCTGGAGAAGCGCAAGAAGCGCAAGCGTTGTATGCGGGCTACTGGGCCCAAGAAACCTAAGAAGATGCCCAAGGCACAAGAGCAGATGCTTGTCAATACAGCAAAAGAAGCTCTGCGAGTATTTCAGAATGTCGGACCAGCCCCATCTCAGAATGGAATCGACAGCGGATTTCCTACCAACTCTCAGATCAAACAGCTTATGATGCCCGGTGAAAGTGTGTTCGCCGTTGAAATGCCTGCTCCCGACACAATTCCCGTCCCAGTTACCGCTATTGTTCCTGATGTGGACGAATCGAATGTCAACGAGGACTGGCCAATGCTTGATGCGGTCCAGGTTGAGCCACTGTACAAGCTTGTCCCCGCCGAACAGTATCTTGATCAGTCAACTGGGCCACTACCCGTGTTCCGGGGTGAGGTCCCGGACATGGAACTTCCTGGCACCGTGTGCCCGATGGACCTTGACATGACCTTGGGTGCGAAAAACCCATGGAGCGACGGTTACCAAGTCCTGGAGACGGTTGGCCATTGGACGAAGGTCGAGGTAAAGTCAACCAACGGCCTGAAACCAGGAAAGTCTGGCAATCAAACACTCTTCAACTCATATGAAGAGATGCAGCTGCCGACTCCAACTACGGCGCCGTGTTGTGCAGACATCAAGGCAAGGCAGCCCACAGGCGGGCTGTTCCTGATAAAACCGCCCCTGACCTTGGATGCATTGCCGAACCCTTACCAGGTCGCATTGTTCAACCATTGCCTCCGGGAGTTGAATGTCGGGGAACGTTATGTCTTCAACCTGCCATTTTTTGGCCCGTGAACAAGCTTCACAATGTCGGTCTTGACTCGGGCCGTTCGAATTGTTTGTTTCTGTACTCGTCTGATGCTTTTAGTTGATTTGTTGTTCTGTATTTTTATTTGCTTTTCCGTCGTTATTCTGTTTTCCCTTCCCTTCCATTTCGTTTTCCTCTTACCTTTTCTTTTCACAATATGGGATTTTTCAGGTCTTGTTCAACAGCGAATGAGAGAGGTCAAGATAAAGTTGGGCGCCAAGATGGCTGCCGCGGTTGGTTTGGCTTTGATTTGAATCTTTATTTGTTCTTGCAGTATTTGTTGCGCGCAGCCGGAAAGGAGTTAACATGAAGCGAATACCCTCGGTGTACTGTTAATTGATGTTTATTAGGCAGTCAGGCAGAGATAATCAATGCTTCTTCATGCAAAACAACCTTGCGATCGGATTAGCCTCACATCATGTTCAGATGATGCTGTCTGACAGCTTCGCATCACGGAGAATATGTGAGCCAGGAAGCTTCCTGCCAAGGTTAATCTTCACAATAGAAATACCTCCAGCCGAATCTGCATGGCATCATCCATATGATGCATCCAAACGGTCTGAGGGATCGGCGGGTTCCGCATACACGGCGATATCTCTCCGACGACAGGATCGTGCGGAGTGAGTTGTACGGGACTCGCCATTACGGAGTCTGTTCATGCAGGAGAGGACCGTAGATCACCTTTTATATCAGATATTCTTCATTTCCTCTTTGATTCCACTTCATCTCCACTTTTATACTTCTATACTTTCCTGCTGAGGGCCCAGGTTAGTCATCCTCTACTTGGTGGGGTGATCACCGACCGCCTTGGCTGCCGGCAGAAACAACTAAAATCATTATCTCCGCCTTATTAGACGCGTTATTCCTGTAGCCTCGTCGCCTCGTTGTTGCGCGCTTCTCTGCGCGTGCCTTTGTTTTGAATTTCTGCTTATCTGGAAGCTATTCTTTCGCTCGCTCATCTTCTTTTACTCTTCAATTCAGCGATTATTTGTGTGGCTGGTGAAATAACCAAGCACCGGAGATGCCATATCCGCCCGGCCGTTTTGAGACTTTCTCAGGCACCGGAAATGGTGTTTTAAGAGTGCTGGAGTATTCTGGAAATCCCACCACCGCTAATATTTAAAGCCAGCTTGGCTGGCCCATTGAAATGGAGCCTGGCGGAGATCCTCTCGATTGGAC